TCAACTTTTCCTGATTCCTGCTGAAATCTGAGATAGATAGAATCTGATTAGGTTGCTGGAGTCTCATCATTTGGTAGTAGGAGTTTGGCTATACGAGAGTTAGCCAGTTTACTGCTTTGTACTGGAATCCAATTCCAGTAGTGGAGTTCTGTGCTTATTGCTTCAGCTTTCTATCCCGGTGAAGACTAGTCGTCTGCCGGATAGTTAGACTGAGAGGGCTTGGTCAGTTTAAGAGATTCCAAGCTACTGTCGGATCTTCCGCAGTTTAATCAACAGTAAAACAACCAAAAGGAATTACAACTTGGACCTAATTGAGGAGCTAGGGGGAATCATACCTAAGTGAGTTCCCAAACTGTAATTAGTAGTTTTACTTAGTTTAGTTAGTAGAGTAGTTTAGTTAATCAATCCTTAATCTAGTTTGCTAGATAATGAACTGAAGCTGAGTAATAGTAACTCTAGAGACCCGTGAATTCGATATTTATTACTTGTGCCACTATACTGCAGTCCCTTTTATTGGTTACACTTGGCCATTGTTAGGTGAAATAACAAAAACTTGATGCTCTAAAGCACAACACCAAACTGCGACCAAGTATAATCGCAGTCCGGGAATGCAGTAAAGTGACAAGTTATATTATCAACCCGGGGTCTAGATCTACTGCTTACTCAGTGATTCTCTATTATCTAGCCAACTAAGTTAAGTGTTTGTTGTGTAAAAGCAAAAGCAGAAAGAAAGCAGGAATTGATACGGTTTTCTCAAGCAGATAAGAGTCACTCGAAATGAGTCCCCCTAGCTCCTTAGTTAGGTTTCAATTGTATTTCCCTGGGTTGATTTACTGTTGATTAGACTGCGGAAGATTCGGCAGTAGCTTGGAATCTCTTAAGCTGACCAAGCCCTCTCAGTCTAACTACCCGGCAGACGACTAGTCTTCACCGGGATAGAAAGATGAAGCAGTAAGAACAGAACTCCACTACTGGAATTGGATTCCAGTACAAAGCAGTAAACTGGCTAACTCTCGTATAGCCAATCTCCTACTACCGAATGATGAAACTCTAGCAATCTAATCAGATTCTATCTATCTCAGATTGCAGCAGGAATCAGGAAAAGTTGATCAGACTTCAATTGACTCAATAAACATGCATCATTCGATTAAAATCAAACAGTAATATCATCCCAAGTCATTACAATTAATCCCTAACACATAGAACTAGGGTTCTTCATCCCCAAGTGAGAGAGGGGTTCTACTCCATAGAGAGAGAGAGAGGAAAACAAGATACAAAGCAGTCATACTCATAATTATGGGAAGAATCATCTCTGGGATGATGATTTCCACTCCTATGACGATCTCCAAGCTTGATTTGATGAAACCCAGCTCCAAGATAGCTTCTAGGATGTGTTCTTCGTCCTTTCTCTCTCTAGGGCTCCGTTTTTGCTCAAAAAATCCGAATGCCTCTTCCTTGGCTCGAATCTGCCTTCAAAAACCCGACTCTGGGCGAAATACGGGCAGAATTACGGCCGTAATCACGGCCTGCCCGTAAATCGCCCAAAACGCGCGTTTCACTTTACTCTGATGGAAGAGGAGTTACGCCCGTAATTTTACAATTACCGCCAGTATTTCATTAATTACGGTCGTAATTTGGTGGATGCTTGGCCGTAATTTTAGTGCCGAGAAGAATTCTTGGGAAAAGAGGCTCGGCATTGGTTTTACGGGCATGCCCTGACCAATTATGGTCGTAATTTGGCAGGGGCTGCCCGTAATTTGTCCTGTGAATCACCCCCTGACCTCCAAATGACCCGAAACTCGTGCCTATGCACCTCTTTACTTGCTAGGACCTGAAATACGACAAAACAACACAACCTAGCGTAAAATAGGCCAAGGAACAATCAATTCAAGCTAAAATGGACAGGAAACCAGAGTGAAAACACGTGCAAATACGATGTTATCACCCAACTTCACCAGGAAAAAATCTCTGTCCATCGCAAAGATCTCCATGTGACCAGAAGGCCGCCATAGAGATCGCAGCCTGTTACAGAGGGTTGTGTAGCCGATGGACTTCCCGAGCAGCCTGACCACCAGGGATCTCTGCCAAGGAGCACTGAGTTTCGCTTTGAACCCTTCAGAAATCCTTAGTTCAGGTTCCCCATTGAAAGATCCCGTAATGATGTCATGCTCCCCAACTGGAACCCATTGTGAAGCCGGTGCCCCCGTCTGAGACCCGAGGCCGGCCACCGCAATGGCATAGGAAGCCTTTGGCAAGGTCAGGCGGTAATCCTTGATTAGATCTCCAGGCCCCCCTCACTGATCACCTCATTCTCGTTCCTCCCCAAGTCTGCAGGAGCCACAGAGCTGGAGTTATGTATCTCCGACGTTACCCGAGGCATCTCTCCCGCTTGATCAGCATCGATCTGCATCTCAGCCACAGGCTGAGAAATGTCTGGCAGCCGTCCCGGCGGAGCAGAGTTCGACGTCGGGGCCATCTCTCCAGCAGGGATCGTACAGAGCGTTTCCATGAAATCCACCAATTCTCCTGTCTAAAATGCCCAAACGTTATTATTATCGTCTTAACTTAAAATGAGAAATTACTTAACCGTCTTCTTTGTGACAAAATAAATAAATCATATAATTTTTTCTCTACAAAAAAAAAAGTGTGATCAAATAGGTATGTAGGATGTTGAACAAGAGTTTCGATCGGGCGGCTACTTCCTCTAAGAGGAGTTTCGATCGGACAGGAGTAGGTGGCAGCATGTGGCGGATGGATTTCGGGAGAGAGATATTTTTTTATATTGTTTAATTGTGTTTGTTATCGGCTAACAATGTCAAATAAGAAGGGAAAAGAGATAATTTTAACTTTTAAGTTATAACGAATAAAGTAAAAAATAGGAAGAAAAAAGCAACCCTCTAGTGGTGCTCACATTTTCCTTCTTTTTGCTATTTAATCCTATCACGCATTATTAAATGTATCATTTGGTAAATCTATATTTTCTTTCCCATAAATAAGTTAAGAATGCATTGGATTGATGAGTTACGTCTAACTTAATAACCAACAACATAAATCAATTGGTATTCGAGGCGAACTATCGATAATGAACCAAGTTCTGATCCATTAAATCCCTTAGGGGGATAGTTACACCAGACGAATACACATTTTTCACAAAAACATGCTACAGCAAGTGTATCTGTGTACATATGAACTACAAATCCAACGAATCGAATAGCATCCACCTTGGTTATGCAAGATTGTGATCGAGACATTACTCTTAGTTAACGTTCTATCCACAACTAAATACAAATAAAATCGTTTTATCACCTACAAAACGAAGAACACAAACCATAAATGCAATTAGATTCTCAAAATACTTAAAAGGTGACAAATTAAAGAACATCATAACAACACTAAAATGACCATGGAGAAGCATATAGCCTTGAACCTAAATGCACGTTTTCAATTGAAAAAAATTAAAACTACAATGATTGATTGCCCTTCTGTTAGGTGCCTAGTCTCTTATATTTTAAATATTTAGAATGACTTAACCCAAAATTCATTTTGTTTTATTTTGCTTTATTAAGGACCAAGAGAGGTCAAAGTAATCACTCTGTTGATAGTTGGTGCCATTTGTCAGGCAGCTAGCCCGCCACGAAAGCCGCTGCTAATATTCCATCAAACATGTGATTTTGCATTCGAGGGAGACGGCACACCTTAATAGATCCCATAATCTTCTTCTTTTTGTATTCTTTTGGCAAAAAATATAGAGTTTTAGCAAAATTGTTATCGATGTTCTGAATTCTCAACAAATTTCTATATTGACGATGAAAATTATATGAATGATAAGTCATTCTTGTTCTCATAATTTTCATTGACGATGAAAATTAATCATTGACCAACGACAATCAAACTTTGTTTGACTATCCAAAATGTGCATGGTGCCTTCGTGTCCTCTATGTAGATGAAAAATAAATTAAAAATTGTAATAGATAAAACAAAATTAATTTATTATATATTTGACATTTATCCTTTTACAATTATCACCCTCGAATTCTGAAATTCCTAAACATATACAGTTTGGTATAAATGAATTTCATAAATTTTGAGAAATTCATTTTGAAATGAAATAGTTTTGTGTTTGGTATTAAAAATAATTCATTTTCAATTCTAGACTTTGAATTCTATGGATTTAGAACTAGTTATAGAAATTCCGAGGAATTGACATGAAATTTTCAAATGAATTCCACAAGTATTTACTTATTATAGCAGAATGACATAATTACCTTCATTTATTAACTAAATTACTTGTACATATGACATACCAAACACAAGAATTCATTTGATAATGAATTCTACACGACACATCATTTTATTTCTAAAGATTTGAATATAACATATATACCAAACATAGGATTTCATTTGACAATGAATTCTATACGATAATTCATTTTACGATGAAATAAATTCTCGATTCATTTGGTACCAAACAGTCTGAAAAAGAAATTCAAGTCAGGTGGATTCAGTTGTTATAGCTGAGAGTTATATCCGAGTAGAAAGAGGTCGTCGTTTCCCCGTACAATGTCGCCATCATCTCTATCATCATCCTGTTCTCTCCCCCGCCATCTTCTACGACGGCTCTCTGATCTTCCTCTTCTCATCTTCATCAACATCTACATAGTCTCTCCGCTGCTTCTCGTCGCCATCGTTACCAACATATTATTGGTCTCCTTCCATGATCTTTGTAGACTGTTACTCGAATCCAATTGACACTGTTTTATTATAATTTTGTTCGTTGGTAATTTCACATTTTTCAGGAGATCTGAAATCCAAAAAATCTCCTTAAACTTCCAATTGTCGTTGCTGCTGCATCTAGGATTGTATAGGAAAAACACAAACGATCAACAAAATCATTAGAAGTAATTTTTTTTCTTCTTTATTATTGATGTGTATATGTATACACATTCAAAATTATTACATGTACAAGTTTCAGATATAGGAACGTAACTTATAAATTAAGCGTTATGTTCAATCATTTATTAATTATTCACTATAAGTTCTATAATTCAACTTCTTTCAATCACACGAATTATTAGATAAAATTGGTTTGCCCTCCACCAAGAGCTTTAACTCTTGCCATTGAAGAAAGCCACCAGCCGCTTGATCAAAATCCCCGCCTTCTCGCTCTCCAAATTGTAGAGGTGGAAGCAATGCCCCTCACCTTCAATCTCAAGAAACTGAGCAGCTCCCTTCCACCCACTCTTCTCCACTCCTTCGTAATAAAGCCGTCCCCTGTCTCTCAACCCATCTTCACTCGCCACAATAACCATCACCCTCTTGCAGCCCAGACCGGTCAGCGACGGCGCATTCGGTCCGACCGGGTTGATTCGTGGATCGTCGTTGTCCGGGCTCGACGGACACACAAACGCCCACATGTTGCCTCCTCCGGGCCGTCGATGGATAACCTCCGATTCAATGGGCTTGGACCCAGAAAAGTAAGGGCACACCATAGCAATCCCCGAAAGCCCAACTCCAAGCCCAAATTCCGGGTCCCCGACCGCCATCGCCAGGTTATGGACGATATTGCCCCCCGCGCTCTCGCCAGATAATAGGACTCGGTTGAAATCCACGTGATCGTTCAGCCAGGGCTCGGGCCCGTTTCCGGCCCGATGCGATACGGCCCAGCGGATCCCGGCCCGGGCGTCGTCGTACGCAGCCGGGATCGGGTGCTCCGGTGCCAGCCTGTAGGCGAAGGAGACCACGACGACTTGGGCCTCGGCGGCGAGGCGGGACACGTAGCGGTGGTACTTCCCGCAGAATGGGGAGGAGATGCAGAACGCGCCGCCGTGGAAGTAGAGTAAGAGAGGTAGTTTCCGGTGGCAGTGAGGAGGGAGGTAAAGGCGGGCGGAGAAGTTGGAGTTGATGACGACGTCCTTGGAGGAGACGCCGCTGCCGGAGATGGAGGGAGGGACGAAGTCGGTGTCGCGGAGGCGTTCCACGGTGCCGTCGTCGTAGACTCGGATTGTGCCGGGGAATTCCGTCACTATTTTACGTTGGTTGGAACCGGGAGAAGCCATTTTTGAAGATGGTGTAGCTAGGTAGATCTAGAGGGGCTTTATATAAAGCCTTTTCCATCGAGAACAAGTTGTTGCACCATCGCCATAACTTGTGGTTCTAATTCTACATTTCCTTTTCGTTTAACCCAAAAATGACTCTTGTACTCAGCTTTCCGGGATAATGGCTAATGAGTAGGCGTGAAATTGTGTTGGCAGGACTTAGCGTGAAAGAAATAGAGAGATTTAAAGAGGTGGTGTCGTTGAACAAGCTAATAAGTAAGGTCAAGACTTGTATATGTATTGTACCAGCAAGTTAATTATCGGCAAATACAAATAACTCTAGTCCTAAATTAAATAGAGTTGCATAATTAATGCCGGCTAGCGTTGGCGCCACTTTATTATAGCTAGTACGTAGGACCAAGGCTTAGATGTTAAAGCGAGCTGGTATCAGGGCTAATGCTAAGAATACTGTACGTATCAGTTGGTATTAGTGGCGGAGCTAGGCTTGGAAAAGATTTCAGCAATTAGAGATTTGTGTGGGTTCAAATTAGTAATTTTTTATTATAGGTAGACTTCCTTGCCATCTCAGTCAAGTAAATTTGTTATGCAACTTGTTTTCGTTATTATTTATATAAGAGACATGTTCTGAAACCTCCTTTTACGTCCCACAATCTCTAGGACTCTAACATTTTATTTCTTATTCTTTGTCACTACCGCTGATATCCACAGCAGAGAGGACGAGTCGACGTCCTTTGCCTCGTCCAAGCCCCTTAATCTCCAATTTTGGCCAAAAGTTCGTTGGATTTCCACTGCCGCACTCGTCCAAGCCACGTCGTCTCCAATTCGGCCAATTACTAGTGTCGAGATATCGTTTTCGTCAATGAAACATATCAAACATTATTTTCTAAACCAGATGAATGATAGGTGGTTGAACGACACGTTGATGACATATATTGAACAAGGTTTGTGTGCTAGTTTTTTTTATTATATAGTTAATTTTTTATGATATGAAAAAGACACCACCTTGGCCAATTTTCTGGCTCCGCCACTGGTTGGTACATACTGCATGCCTGGTACATGCGTAGCTAGTTACGAGCTCTTCCACTATACTCCAACGTAATTATATTTCGAGATACAATTTTTTTTTACAACTCGAGATACAAATTGAATTTGAAGTTTTAACGTTATGGTAAAAGTTCAATTTGTATCATCAAGAAATTTGTACTTTTATGTGATGGTACAAGTTATTTTAAGTTTTCACTTTCTTTAATTTATAGCAATGACATATGGTCAAACCTTTATTAAAAAAAAGTTAAATACAATTTAATATCCAAACCTTTTATTTTAAACAATATAATAGCCAAACCTTTTCGAAAACAATCTAATATCCAAATCGTCAACCTTTTGTCTGTTTGACCGTTAGTTGACACTTCAAAAAAGTTCGAAGTACGACACTACATCAATATCCATCGATATCTTCTCTGAAAAACCACCAACATGTCGTAGTTCCTAACCCGAGAAGTCCATGACTCCACCATGATGGTATAGAATATCTAAATATTCATTCATCTGCAATGCCAAAACAAGAAACAAAGTTGTATTGTGACTATTTCCCCTAAACAAAGCTTTTTTGAAGTGTCAACTAACGGTCAAACGAACGGAAAGTTGACGATTTGGATATTAAATTGTTTTCGAAAAGGTTTGGCTATTATATTGTTTAAAATGAAAGGTTTGGATATTAAATTGTATTTACCCTTTGTTTAAAAAATAACGAAACATGTTTTCCGTAGAGCTGCCACCAACACCTAATTCACGTTTTTTTTTGTCTACATTACCATAATTTATGTTTATTGATGTCACACTAATGCTTGTTCACGCAATAGTGGTGGTTATTCACACAAACAGTGGTTATTCATGAGTGTTTATTCACGCTATTGGAAACCCAATTTTTAAATTTAAAATATACCAGAATGTATGTCATTGCGTAGATTTATTAAGAAAATTCCAAATTTAACTCCATAAAATACACCAATCCACATTTTTTTATGCGAAATAAAAAAACTTCATTAAACCAGGCCACATACAGGAATTCTTGCTGCACCTCTCAAACTTCAACAACGTTCCACAATAGTAGGATTACAATCTCAACTAGCTACATTACTTGTAAACTATCAAACTCTAACTAGAGGGCAGGATCTCCACTCACTCGATAGAGTACTTCCTCGCTTATCAACCTAACCAACGCAATAGGGTCTTTAATCCCTCTTGACCCGTACAACCGAGAGCATTGCTCTCGCCAAACATGACTCACAGTAGCACTCCAAAGTACTCTGCACAAACGTGCCTTAGCATTCTGCGATTTCCACTTCGTAGCACACCAAAATACTATCTCTTCCCAGCTATCAACTATTGGGGGAGCCTGTCTCTTCATACACTGCTGCAACACAAACACCAAATAAGAACAATTCACAAACAAATGATCATAGCCCTCCTTACCTCCAGGGCATAACAGACAGCAGCCAGATACTTGTTTGCCCCAAGACAACAACTTATCTTGGGTTACTAGCCTTCTGTGGATAGCCAGCCATAGTATTAAACCATGCTTAGGGATAACCTCCCTCGCCCAAATTAACCTCCACCATAACACTTCTTGTTTGTTCTCCCTGATGTCATTCCAAACCCTTGACACCGAGAATTTCTGCATTTTCTCCCCCTGCCATAACATACAATCACCATTCTCAGATATAAAGGGGTAAGCAGTCAACCTGCATTTCAATAATCATTTCCAGATCCAAGTCCCTGCAGAAGTAGCTGAGATCACCCAAATACTTCTACCCTTCAGTCTGTATCTAGATACCCAGGCCACCTAGAGAGAGCCACCCTGAGTAAGAATGTCCCACAAATGCCTCAAGACACAAGCACTGTTCCATATTCTGAAATTTCTAATGCCAAGACCACCCTCCTTCTTAGGAATTGCCAGCTTTTCCCAAGCCATTAATGCCCTTTTTCTACTACCATCCTCAGCTGAGTCCCACAAAAACTCATTTCATAGCCTGTCCACCTCCTTGATAACAAACTGAGGCTGTAAAAAAATATTAAGCCAGAACTGAAGAGTGCTTGATATGACAGTTGATATAAGCTGAATTTTCCCAGCATAGCTTAATAGTTTTGACCTCCAACTTCTTAGTCTCTATTTAATTTTATCCACTAACACCTTACAATCCTGCCTTGTGAGCTTTCCTGTGATAAGGGGTACTCTAAGGTACCTTACTGGTAGTGTCCCAAGTGGAAACTCAGTAAACTCAGATATTGTAGCCATCTCTTCCTTTGGAATCCCAGCACAGAAAAGTTGGCATTTAGCTGGGTTACATCTCAAACCAGACAGTTTATAAAAACTATCCATTAACCTTCTAATCCCTGCTACTCCTCTGATTGACCCGTTAGTAAACATCATTAAATCATCTGCAAAACACAGGTGAGTGATCATAAGAGGTTTACAACTAGGGTGAAAGGGAATTTGATTCTCTAATACTGCTTTCCTTGCCAAACAATCTAATGCTTCCATAGCAATTGTAAACAGGTAGGGAGACAAAGGGTCCCCCTGCCTCAGACCTTTCATGCCTTAATATTCCCACACAATCCACCATTAACTGCCACTCTAATAGCTGGAGAAGTGACACAGGCAGTAAGCAATTTAAGAAATCCCAAAGGAAACCCCATTGCCTCCATTACTTGAAACAAAAACTTCTAGTTCACTGAGTCAAAAGCCTTCATTATATCAATCTTCACCACACATCTAGGAGTTATGTTCTTCCTATGGTAGTTTCTAACCAATTCTAACACCAACAGAATATTATCACTTATAGTTCTCCCTTTAATGAAAGCAGATTGAGATATGCTAATCACACTAGGCAAAACTAAAGCAATTCTGTTTGCTAACAGTTTGGAAATCCCCTTATACGACGTGTTACAACAAGATATTGGCCTACAGTCTCTCATTCTTTCAGAACTAGGTATCTTAGCTACTAAGGTAAATATTGTACTATTCACAATTGGAGGCATAAACCCAGTAGAGAAGAATGAACGAATTACCTCTTCTACTTCTGGTCCAATGAGGGACCAGTGAGTTTTATAGAACTCAACTGGAAATCCATCTAGCCCTAGGGCCTTGTCTTTACCAAAGGTCTGAAACACTTGCTTAATTTCTGCTCGATTAACCCCTCTCATCAACATTACCTTCTCTTCCTCTGATAATGTATGCTGAATCAATTCCTGATAATAAGAAATAGGTTGATGCTCCACATTTGGATCCTCAGTGCCAATCAATTTTTCATAGAACTCCACTGCAATCTCACCAATACTCTGCACATCTGTCTTCACTTCACCCCATCATTCATCATTCTAGTGATTTGCTGTCTTTGAGTCTTGATCTTTACAGTTTTGTGAAAATATGCAGTATTAGAATCCCCTTCCTGTATAGCTTGTGTCCTCGCCTTCTGCCTGTAGAATAGCTCTTCTACCTTTTTAAGCTCAAGATACTCAGCACACAACTGTTTTTCCTTTACAACCAGTTCTTCAATGGGATTTTGCAACACCTCTCTCTGAGCAGCCTCCAATTCCACTACTGCTTCCTTTACTCTCCTAGAAATATCTTAATAAACTTCTCGATTCAACTTCCTCAAGGGCTGCTTGACACTCTGCAGTTTCCCATAAAAGACATATGAGGGATACCCTGTCACCTTCTTGGCCCATGTTTGTTCCACAATATCAACATAACTAGGATTAGATTGCCAACAAGTAAAATACTTAAACGGCTTGGGAAGTGTTCTCAACTGAGGATCAGTATTTAAGATTAAGCCACAATGGTCCGAAACCCCTGAAGGATTTGTGTGAGCTAAACTTTCTCTGAACTGCTCTAGCCATGCCTCATTCACAAGCACTCGATCAATCCGACGAGCAATAGGATTTGCCTTCTGCTTATTCCACCATGTGAACCAGTTACCTTCAACCTTATGATCCACCAGTTCCATATCCTTAATCCACCCTCTGAAATCATGCATACTCTGAGTTAGCTCCTGCACATTTGACGTCTCATTGATCTCAGCTATTGCATTGAAATCCCCCATGAAAACCACAGGGATGCCATCATCGTTTCTCAGCATCAACTCTTGATAAAGTCTTTTCCTCTCTACCTCCTTATTCAGACTATAGACAAACACTACTACGTATGGTTTAGTATCCTCAACTTTAATCTGTAAGAAATGCTCCCCTTCCTCTATACGAGTAACCTTCAATCCTGTCCTCCAAAAAATCCATATTCTACCCGATTTTGACTTCTCATAGTTCTCTAAATGTTGCCAAGCAGGAAAAAACTCCTTCTATTATTGCCTTACTTTTTTGTTGTATTACTCTAGTTTCTAGTATACCTACTATATCAATACTTCTTACTCTCAGGACTCAGGAGTCTCAGCTGCTCCAGAACAGCTGAATACTTATCAGGGGAATTAAATCCCTTGATATTCCAACTGAGTATCTTCATTTACCCTTCTTCCTCCCCCTTCCTCTTCCCTTAGGAGGAGAAGGAGGACAATTTACCACAGGCCTTGCACCAATCCACATTATTAAGGGGAAAATAAAAAAAAAAATTGTGGTTCCATTTCCGTGAAAAACCATAACTTACTTGAATAAGCACCTAATGACATGAATAATCACCAAATTACATGAATGAAATGCGTGAACTAGGTGTTATGACTCTCTAAATACAACAAACCTTTTCCAAATATATATCCATCACAACCCCACAAAGAAAACCCATCCAACAATAAATCCATAAATTTCCAACAAGAAGCCAAACCAACTAGAAATTAAACTCACAACGAAAATGAAACAAGCAACGAAAGGAAACAAAGATTGGTTATAGAATTCCATATTCATACATAATGTGAGCAGACGATTTACATATATTATTACATCAATGAACTATATAGTTATGGATTAATTGGTGCAATTGAAGAAAGTCGCCATCCTCATGATCAAAGCTCTAGCCTTCTCACCATTCAAATCGTACAAGTGGAAACCATGGCCTTCACCTTCCGTTTCAAAAACCTCTCTATCTCCCACCCATCCACTCCGCCCCAACGTTTCGTAGTAAAGCCGCCCTCTATCTCTCAGCAAATCCTTCTCCGCCACGCAGACCAGCACCCTCCTGCAGCCCAGGCCCACCAGGCCCGGCCCACCGGCAGCCTCCGGGTTGACTCGCGGGTCGTCGTTGTCCGGGTTCGACGGGCAAATAAACGGCCACAACTTGTCCGCCGCAGCCCTCACTTCGGGCTGCGGAAAACTAGGTTCCGAACCAATGGGCTTGGACCCCCAGAAGTACGGATGCACCAAAGCAGCCCCAAACAAAAGTCGACGGTGAAGGCCCATCGCCAAGTTATGGACGATATTAGCCCCGGCACTATCGCCGACTAAAAAAACCCGGTCGAAATCCACGTGCTCGTTTAGCCAAGGATCGGGCCCGCATCGGGCCCGATGAGATTCGGCCCAATGGAGGCCCGCGCGGGAGTCCTCGTACGCGGCTGGGATGGGGTTTTCGGGGGCGAGCCTGTAGTCGAAGGAAACGACGACGGATTTGGATTCGGCGGTGAGGCGGGACACGTAGCGGTGGTACTTGGCGCAGAAGGCGGAGGCGACGACGAAGGCGCCGCCGTGGAAGTAGAGCAGGAGAGGCAGTTTTTTTTGGTGGGCGGCGGGGCGATGACGACGGGGGAGGTAGAGGCGGGCGGAGAAGTTGGATGACGGGACGATGACGACGTCCTTGGAGGAGACTCCGTCGGCGTCGGGGGAGGAGGAAGAGGGAGGGGCGAAGTCGGTGTCGCGGAGGCGGTCCACGGTGCCGTCGTCGTAGACGCGGATGACGCCGGGGAATTCCGTCACTACTTTGCGTTGGATGGAACTGGGGGCGAAAGCCATTTTCCCCTTTTTTTTCAGGGAGGCTTGTGATGGAAGTTTGAAGATGGAGAACTTGATGTGTCCTTGTTCCTATATATACACTTTGTTTCAGTATTTCCAGCTTCATCCATTTCAAACAAAACCTGGCCGCCATGGTTACGCAATGTATTTTCAAGTTCCACGAGTTTCTCATGATCATAATTATATTATACCTATTACCTAATGCATATATATCCGAGGAAGTTGATAAGTAGGGCGTGGAATTCTTTGGGTAGGCGGTCCTACGTACCACGAATGTAGAGGTGGCGTTGTACCTGCTAGCCTAGGTGGAAAATATAATTTTTTTTGACAAATTCATGGGGAATTCTATGGTGCAGTCACTGCACTAGTACCGCCACTTTATTGTAACCGGTTGAGTTGGTGATTTACTGGTTGGCTCCGGTTTAATAATTTAATTAATAAAACATTAAAAAAAAACAAAAACAAAAAGAAACAGAAGGCAAAAGGCAGGACAGTCGTTCCCTTCCATGTCTTTCCATTGTAAATCAAGAAAACCCTTCCGTCACGGCACTCCACCACCACGTTGTTTTCGTCGATCAACCTCACCAGCAAAATCTCAACTTCGTCTGTTAAAATCAGCTGCGTCATCAGCCCCGTAGCCGCCTTCTGCTCATCGACAACATCGTTTCTGGCGTGTGAATCCACAATCACCATCGCCATTGCGGCCGATCGACCATAACCAGCCACATCCCGAATCCCCGACAATCAATGTCAACATCATCGTCAACCCAGTTGTCGTCGCCAGGTCATGTCTCTGTTGTGCCAATAAACCACCATTATCGCTGGTCGGCCATCACTACCCAAATCCCGACACCCTCGAAATCGCCATAGTCGTCAAGGCTCCTCCCCTCTCGTTTTAACCACCGGCGATTCAATTTCCCCATCCATGGCTACACAATTCCTGAACCACCTTCCGTCATCAAAATCGTCTGGCTGCCCTGTCATTCCAACAACGTCCCTACCGTGGCAATCGATCCGTTGCCGTTGTTCAGCCTTGAGCACGAAAATCGGCGACTCACTCGAAATACCCATTGTGGTCAGTGTCGATCAAGGGATACGTTGCCTAGAATCCCCTTTCAGCTTCTATGAGATAAGTCTTCGGTATCCTTGTGATTTGGGTATTTGTTGGATAATTGCTGAACGCATTAGATTGTTAAGATTAGGTGAACAACATAATTTGTAGTTGGATGGTTTCAAATCTTAGTGTAGTTATCTTAAATCCCCTCCCAAATCTTCTACTTATTTATAATTTTTGTGTTCAGTTGCCATGGATAAGTCATGTGAATAATTTTTTAATTAGAAAACTAAAAAACCCCAACAGAACTAGAACTCCTCCTTATCTCAACTAGGTATAGGTTCCTATATATATTTTGGTTTGTATTTGTATAGGTCGTAGGCTTTTCAAACCAACAGAAACATCATTTGGTGCAATGGAAGGGTTCGTTCTGTGTTTATATGATCTGGTTATTTGCTTAATGAGCTTCTCTTATGGCTCTGCCTAAATTGTTGTGTTTTTGTTCCAGCTTGGACAAGAGAACGCCAGAATCAAATGGCTCAAATGAGATTAACCAGGTAATCACTTACTATTTTCAAAATACCTTTTTGTATTTTTGGTTGTTTGTAGTGACAATTGTAGTGTCTTTGTCAAATAATTGCTTAGATGGTAGAAGTGGCATCTGTTGAACTTGAATACCACTCCTTGTATAACTTAGGAGTCCCTCAGAGTATACATTTGCTGAACCGTCTTCCATAAAAGAATCATCTTCCCTAACTTGGCATTCCTTTTTCAGCTGACATTTCACCATATTTTCGTGATTTTGAAGTTATTTGGCCCCAGCTTTGTTCAAAAAGGATGATAGCATATGTATATGTTAGTCTAAATTTGCTGGATAAAACAATAATCTGGGACTCAGAACTGAAATCCCAGATAGCCTACTTTATCAAACCTAGCAGCTAGTCTAAATCTGCTACTGCAGATCAAGGCTCCTTCAAGTTGGTTATGCGGCAACATCAAAACTAAACAAATGTAATCTTATTACCTCAAATGGGTAGTTGTGCTATTTATTTCCTTACTCAATTTTTACTCGTTTTGAATTTCATTGCTCGACCATCTATGATTCTGCCCTGCTGTCTTTATGATCCTTCTGCTCCTACTGCTTGCAATTCCTGAGCTTGGATAGATAGAAGTGTATTTAATGTGTTGTTTGGTACAACTAAAATCAATTTTAGTAATTAAAAAATTTAGGACTGAAAAATACAATAAGATACTATTACAATCAAAATCCAGCTTATAACTTAGATGCAAAGGCATAACTGTAGATGAGGAATCATATAATTTTGTCTATAGCCTTATAACTCCCCTTCTGCTTATGAGCTGCAAGCCTGCAACTCTCTGTACAACTTCCAAAGGCTGCAACCCAAATAACAATGATTGTATTCACATATCACAATTTTGCACAAATTTTTGGCTTATCTTCTTTTGTTTTAAGCTGTCATCATTTGTTTTCTCATTGTGTTTTCTATCTTTCTTTCCATGTACTCTGTTTTTCATGTCTAAAAAATTGCACTCACCCAATGATAAAAAAAAATTCTATCCAAAAAGATTGTTAAGCAACTCTTTGATGTTTCATATGTAGATGTCAAAACTATATGCTCTTATGGAAGAGTTGAAAGTGAATCAGTTAGCGTTGAAGAATGATATGGAGCAAAACATAAGCGAGTTGAGGAGATCACTAGATTCTTTAACTGACTGGTTGATGGAGAAGTTTGCTACCATCAGACCTGGTGATCCCTGCGATAGTGGTATGAAGCACAACAAAGACAAGGGAGTGGAGGTTATTAACATCAGCACGGATAGCTCATGCTCCTTGTCAAGAACCACTGCACCCATGATGTCAGACAAAGCTGCAAGTGCAAGGAAAAAGGTTTGTTGTACTGTCATATTTTGACTTGATTATGTTTCTATTAGTTATTTAATTGTTTTTGTTTTCAATAGGGAAAGGTTGGCGTGAAGCCGCCTGTCAAAGTGAGAAGTCCCATTTTGACAAGGAGATACAATGAAATGAGAAATAAAAAAATGTGTTCCATTGGGCCCTTTACAACTTCCTCTCGTGCATGCCCAATGGATCTGATTTTGATAACCCATGTGTTTGACCAGTCAAAAGATGAGTGGTATTAAATCTATCTTTTTCAATTACTTATGTTAGTATTTGTTAATGGAAGTGCCTATTATTCAAATTCTTTGTAATTGCAAATTGGTTATTGATTGTTTTTATTTTCCAGTGAGGAGCTTGTAAGATCTCCATGGTTTAATCTGAATCGGGCACAATTTAAGGGATTAGCACCAGATTTAATGTTGTCTTCTCAAGTTACTGTAAAACTTCTTTTGGATTTACAAAACTAGATAGAATAATATGCAAAAAGCTTGTGTGATTATATTTGGGATACTTGGACATGTTATTACCATGTGTGTGGGCTTCTTAACTCTAGAAGAGTTTCGTAAGGAAAAACGTGTGCGATGGTTCTTACCACCAACCTTTTCTGTAAGTATAAATATTTTTGATGCCTTCTGTGGTGTATTTGCATGATAATTTTGTAAGCAATTATTACATCTGTGAGAATGTCTTTTAGATGTCTGTGCGTGGATATTCTGAGGAGAAGATTAGACGCGTGTACTGTTCAGAAGATTTCAACGACTGTGAGAAGGTACCAATCTTGTTACGTGGTCTTAGTTGGATGTTGTAATTGGTTTATTTTTGCTCCGAGTTGTTAATTATTACATATATTTTGTAGATTTTTGTTCCCATTCTGCTGGACAATCACTTTTTTCTCAGCGTATTTGACCTTAAAAAGGAGGTCAAACAAATATGGGATTCATATCCAAACTTTCTCGATCCGGGAAGGAGGGAAGAAAAACTATCACAAGTAGTAAGTCAGTTATCTCCTAAAACTTTATATCGTTTGTGTACCTGTTTCTGTTTGGTAAACTGGGTACTCTTTGTCACGTAGGCGAAAGCACTAGACTCCCTGGTTATGGTCAAGATTATTAAAAAGTTGGAGGTCAACTTGCTGGAATCTTTCACTACTGAAATAGTGGTTAACGCTCCACGACAGAAGAATGGGTAAGCGTACGAATTTTGTGCTTATTTTTTATGTTAGTTATATAGTAGGCTAATAACTGTCATTTTAAGTTTGACTATTGGTCCTGCAGGGTTGACTGTGGTCTTTTCGTGGCGAAGTTGATGAGAAATAGTGGGTGCTTAGATGATTGTGCACGTAAAATGAAGAAAAAGGCCAGTTTCTTCCCAACTTTCTCATCTCTTGAGTTTTGATATTTTTCTTATACCTTTTGTTTTCGTTTCTACTTTCAGTTTGAGAGTCAAGATGAGAGTCTTGATCTAGCATTGTATTTGCTGAATAACAAGGAGAATGAGATTAAAGATGTGCTTCACTGGAAAGTTGTAATGGAAAGTGGTGAAAGATTTGATGAAGTTGAGGGTACTGCTGAGAGGAGCGAAACACCCAAAAAAGATGGGAATTTTACTACTTATAAGCTGTAGTTGGTTTTCCTTGTTCAATAATTATAGACTCTTTAGAAGAATAAACATGGCTAGGCTATTGCGTTGGACTTTTATTAATAATCCTGATACTGTTTAGTTGTGGGAACGTTGTGGGTTTGAATATGGGGGACCTCGATTTGTTTTAGTTCTTTATGAGAGGTTGATATGGTGTGGCTAGTGGTTTTGTTTGTGTGCTTGTTTTGTGGATGGGTACTGCTGGTTTTCCATATTGCAGCAACTGCGCATTTTGTTTTGGCTCTATTCTTAGGCTGCTTCTTGTACTCGTTGTTTTCTGCCTACTTCATTCACTTCCTGTTTGAGGGACCAAAGAGTTTCAGGTTATCAAAAACAAGCTCCAAATAGCAGATTCTGGAATGATGGAGTATAATATTGCACAAGAGATTATATCCTAGTATGATTTTTAGCTTGTCATCTCTCGTGTGTTTTTGAATAGTTTGGTTATTAATAAGTTATCTTAGAATGCACATAGGTTTCGTCTTTCCTGTCATGTTATTCCTTTGCTGGTTTCTGAATTTTGGTTCGTCGTTGATGTCTACTTTTTACTTATAACATGCATTGTAATGATATTGTGCAGCCGGAAAATGACAAGCACGTGTATTTGGTGGTTCGGATGCCAAATACAATACTGTTACTTGTGCCGCAAGCTTTTGAAGCGTACCAGTGACCATTACGGACCAAAGAACTACAACCAACATATGGTAGCATAGGCTTTGAAGTTCAGTCATTACCAGATGGAGGATTCCACTCAGTTTTCATCAAAGCAGACTCAGACCAGCTAGTGTTGATGAATGTTATATTTTGATTGAGTAGTCGTTTTACACTAGTCAATCAATGTATAGAACTACCAATTTGCCTCATCAGATTAGCATGATGTGGAACCTTTACACCCATGCTTAATTGTGGAAACAAAACTCAGATCAATGGGAGGAGAATGATAGTTGTTCTGTTTTTATTGACTAGCTTGATTTACTGGAAACTTTGCTCTTGAACATCTCAGTGTCTATTTTTCCTACTCTTCCCGCGAGGTGTTTCCAGTAGGTTCTTGAAGTGGACTCAATTTATCATGAAACTCTCATTATTCTGGAAAACCAACGAGGCTTGAGAAGTTTCAAGGTAGCTCACTCACTGTTAAACGAATGGGCTCCTTAGTCATTACTCAAATGTCTGTATAAAAATAGAAGAGATTGCTTTCATTATGAATGGCAGGCGACCAGCCTAGTGGTTTAAGACTCTGACTTAATTGACAATTTGGAATATTTACATGCATAAGGTAGTGGGTTCAATCCATCTTGCACACTTTTTTTTTCTTTATGCAAATTTGTCATTTAGAGAATCTGCAGCACTCTCAAACAAACACGGGACAGAAATGCAGACACCAAGTAGTGGCAAACCAGAATTCTTTAAACCACCAGATCAATTTTTGCATATCCCCTTCTCTTCCTTCCATTTCTTTTCAAGTGAACCAGCAGATGAACTCTAGCCGTTGAGAAGACAGTTTAGAAAAAATCAGCAAGCAGCTGCACTCTTTTTTTTTTCTTTATGCAAATTTGTCATTTAGCGCATCTGCAGCACTCTCAAACAAACACGGGACAGAAATGCAGACACCAAGTAGTGGCAAACCAAAATTCTTTAAACCACCAGATCAATTTTTGCATATCCCCTTCTCTTCCTTCCATTTCTTTTCAAGTGAACCAGCAGATGAACTCTAGCCGTTGAGAAGACAGTTTAGAAAAAATCAGCAAGCAGCAAGTGGTCTTCCCAGTCTTGGGTCAGCCAGTTTCACCTTACGCTGCTCATTGCCACAGAATTTGCCATCAAAACTGCAAACAATAAGAACAAACACGTACAACACCAGGATTCTATAACCAACACATGCCAACTGCACCACCAAACATCCCTTAACTCTTGACAAATTGAAAAACACTGCAAAGGGATCCAGCAAAAATCAAACTTAGGAAGTCCAAAGCAATAAGTTTCCTCAAGATAAAAGAGAGTTATGATCGTTTTAAAAAAAAAGGCAAACACCAAAAGAAGCACCCTCCAACAACTAGTATAGGTCTGATTCTTTGGAGGAGGAAAACAAAGATGATAGACCGTTAATTACACATGTTTTTACCCCTGTTCTTACACCGTTTGAGGTGTTGATTCTCGTGTTTTAGGCCAATTTCACGCTAGGTTGTGCTTGTTTGTGATATTTCAGGTCCTAGTACGTGAATGGAGGCTTGGGAGCGAGTTTGGGGTCGATTGGACGAAGATCGGACGCGTGGCGAGGTGCTAAGGAAGCCGCACGGGCATTCCTGGACATCACACGGCCGTGCAACTCACATTTGTGGCCGTGTGATTTTCGCCGAGAGCAAACACGGGCGGGATGGAAATCCCACACGGCCGTGCGATCCTGGCCGTGTGGGAAGCCTAAATTTCGACTTAATGATACGCCGCGTTTTGACTCACACGGGCAACTGGGTGAGCCACACGTATAGGTGTCAAAACATAGCTCGACTCGATTAACCCGCCCGATCAACCCAACCCGCAACCCGAATTGACTAAAAGTTAACAACCCGTAACCCGCACGACCCGCAACCCGATTGACCCGCAACCCGATTAATCCGAACCCGATTGACCTGCAACCCGACTGACCCGCAACCCGATTAACCCGAACTCGATTGACCCGAACTCGACTAACCCGTAACCCGACCGACTCAACCCGAATTTCATCTAATCCACTTGAATAATTATAAAAATATACAATACATAGTTTTTCAAAATAAAGTTTTTCATTCTAAACTTAAGTAAAATTATTTTTCATTTCGTATAAATTTTTTTAAAAATATGAAACTCACTTGATATTACGTATTTTAAGAAAATTATAAAAATTGAAACATGAAGATCACTTGAGATCATGACAATATTAATATAATATATAAATTAAAAATTTGGTTAATTTAACTATTCAATAAAATTATCAATTAAATATAAATAAAGTAATGTAATGTATTTGGTAATTTGATGTTTTTAAAAGAAGAGGGAAATTTTGGTGTATTCAAGTTTTTGGGAAGAGAAAGAAGAGGTAAATTTGGTTCTTTGAATTTTTTAGAAAAGAAACAAGTGGGAATTTTGGTGCTTTTGATATGTGGGAAGAGAAAGAAGTGGGAAAGTTTGATTCTTTTGATTAGAAAAGAGAAATAAGGAAAGAAACTTTTGACTTTTCAACTTTTTTAGAAGGAAAGAAGAGGGAAAATTGAGTTTTTCTAATGTATGGAAGGAGAAAGAAGGAGGGAAATTTTAGTATTTTTGTGAAAAAAAAAGAAGGAAACAAATTTGGTGTTTTCAATTTTTTGATTTTTCATAATTTTAGCTTTTGAAATATGAATCTTTAACTTTTATATGGAGGGCATGACTAGTTAAAATTATTCTTATATGCTTTGAAGTCTAATATGTATATATGTATGTAATATTTCATGGGCTAATAAATAAATTAACCATTAGTTACAACAATTTATACTAAACTTGATAAGTAATCTTTGACGGTTCGTTGTTTAGGATATAAAGTATATGGTTAGAGTATAAGGTATAAGGTACATATGGTTTAGGGTGTATATGGTTAGGGTATAAGATATTGATGGTTTTGACGGTTCTAAGTTTTTTATTAACATATGTTCACTTGAAGTCATTTGAAGTCTTTAACGACAGGAGATCCCTTTTTAATTTATGTTTATGGTACGTGGTTAGGGTACAAGGTATGTGTTGTAAAGTATAGGATATATGGTTAGGGTATAACAATTAGCAAATATAACTTTTTATCTATGTTTTGAAAATCAAAGTATGAATTTCACTTTTAAATTAACTATACTAGCAAAATCACAACTCAAGGACATATGGTTAGTGTATAATGTATTGATGGTTTAGGATATACAATCAACAACATATACTAACTTAATATTGTTGATTGAGCTAAGTGTATAGGATATATGCTATTGAGTAAGTTATGATTGAAGTCACAATAATTTTACTAAATTTGATAGCTAATCTTTAATGGTTCAATTTTTAGGATAATTCAAACAATTTTACAAATAACTCGTTTGGCAACAGTTTACTAAAGTTATTTGGGCAATGAGTTATTTTGAAATAACTCCTTTTATCACTATGCTTTTGCCAAATACCACACGCCAAATACCAGATTTGCATGGTTATACTAAACGAGATACTTTAATCCAATTACTACTGAATTAAAACTAAAATATCAAATAAACAATTAACGGTATTTTTTGGTTGCAAATATTGATATCACCATTACTATTAGCTATAATACTTTACCAATTATGATTAATTACATAACAAGTTTGCAAGTCATACAAATTGATTTAACATTTTGACTAGTTTTTTTCAAAAAAATAAAGTATATATATACGAGGTAGAACTAAATTGGTTAAAAAGTTTGAGAAAATATTTTAAATTAGTGTAATAAAATGTGTAAGTTCGTAATGAGTAATGAGTTAAGTTACTTGATGCGCTGGCCCGAACAACCCGAAACCTGACCCGCCCGCAACCCGCCCGACCCAAAACCCGATGAACCCGCAACCCGATTGAATCCGAACCCGATGAACCCACAACCCGACTAACCCGCAACCCATTTGAACCGAACCCGATGAACCCAAACCCACTGAACCCGCAACCCGACTAACCCGCAACCCGTTTGAACCCGAACCCGATTGAACCCAGCCCGAACCCGCCCGATTGACACCTATAGCCACACGGCCGTGTGGCCTGCCCGTGTGAGTCGGGAATTGCTGGTTAAAACCCGATTTTCAGGAAAAGGAGAGGGGAGAGCTGGGTTTTGGTTCCCAAACACCCAAGGGACGAACCCTAGAGAGAGAGAGCGACTTGGGAACATTCTTGGAGCTATTTTGGAGGATTTCTTCGCCATTGGAGCTCGGGAATCAAGCTTGAAGATGGAGATTGAAGATCTAGATCAGATTTCT